TAACAAGGATCATCTTTTCACCATTACCCAATAACATGTTTCTCATTTCCACCTATGAATTGGCGGGCGGGGGGGAGATCACAACAGTTATGATCCATGATCATAAACTTGCACTGTTTGAAAAGCAATCCAAGAATCATTTCTTCTAACACACAGGTGGTTCTGTGTCAGTAGCGAGACCTTTGACAAAAAGGTGCAGGGTCAGCCCAATTTTTAAGATACTCTCAGTGTCAAAGAATGAAGCATGCTTAGAAACCCAAACAGTGAAAGCCCGCTGGTGGAACAAGCAGATTGCAGGTATGAGAGCTGAGGTGGTCACGGAAGTCTGCTAGGTCGTGGACCCCAGTGAACCAACCCTCCCAGCTCCCTGCCTCGTGCAGCCCTCTTCCGTACGTCTGGGCTGGGGTTCTGGTGGAAGTCGTGCTGGGCCGGTTCCAGGCACAGGCCTTATTTAGAAGGCTTTTGTATTCTTGGGAGCCCTGAGAAGAAGTCTACCTACCCTAATGAAGAAACTACTCCCCTGAAGGGCACTCTGGGGAGGGAGAGAATTGTAGAGTATGTAGGAAGAGAAAGAAGCCCAGCCCCAGCAGCCTCACCACGTGACTGCAATCACACAGAAAATGTTGGTCAGACCAGCAAAAGAGCCTCCCAGCTGAGACCAGCCCGTGAGAATACTAAAAAAATAAAAGGTTACCCTACACTACTACATTTGGGGGGGTGGGTTTATACAGCAATAGTTAAAAGAGGTCCTTTGGGGACATGATGTGACACACAGAAAAGTTAAAAAGTTTTGACCAAAGGCTCAAACTTACTGCTGTGTTTTTTATTATTTTATTTATTTATTTGACAGAGAGCACAAGCTGGAGGGGCAGAGGGAGAGGGAGAAGCAGACTCCCCGCTGAGCAGGGAGCTTAACCTGGGACTCGATCCCAGGACCCTGGCATCATGACCTAGAGCTGAAAGCAGATGCTTAACCGACTGAACCACCCAGGCGCCCCCTACTGCTGTGGTTTTAAGGTCCAGGTGTTTTTTTTTTTTTTTAAACCAACAGACTAAGGAATGGCTACACAGTGCAAGCCAGCCATCTCTGACAATCCTCTGCATTCTCTCCTTTCCAGGCCTGAAGTTGGGAGTTAAATAGAATCATGTATTTAACAAAATAGCTAGTACCCAGCCTGACACATGGTACGCAACTCAAACGTGCTGATGAGTTCATTCAAGTGTTCTGAAAGCAGTGATAGGAACATGAACACATCTATCCAGAGGCACAGGGGAGCGGTGCGACCCCCAGGAAGCACGCAGTGCCCCAACCTGCGGCTAGGGCTCTCCTCTGCAAAGGGCAGCCACCCTGTACCACCTGCCCTGCCCTGACAGGGCAGGAGAGGTAAATGACATCGGACATCTGAAAAGCCCTCTGTCATCCCCCAGGCACTGGGCAGAAAGGTTAGGAAGTACCTTAATCTATTTACAGTATCTCACTTTTTGTACCACAATAACCTTTTATTTTTCTCAAAGTTTTCAAATAAGCCCCTAACTCCATTCCTACCAACAAGCAGAACCACTGTACCTTTTATGAGAGCTAACAAGAAGCATCTTTTCTTTAAGAAACTAAAGAATAGGCATTCTTTTGACAACCTTCAAAAATAGCTCAGTCGATTCCATAAGGTCATTGTTGAGAACACCCCCCCAAAAAAGCACTCACCGTCGCTCCTTACCTAAGTGCATCAGGTCAGTGCCACAGGGAAGGCTTTCCATAAAGGAAAATGGGAAACGGCCTGCCAGTCAGCTGAGGAGGACTTGCTATTCTGATCCCCGGACTCGCTCTTTGTCTCTTCGGATTCCCCCAGCCCTCCTGTCTGTTTCCACGCTCTACAAAAGGGTTTAGAAGTTATATTTCTGGCCCTGTGATTCTTGTAGCCACCGCTGGGTTTAGAGCCGATTTAGCCCCAGAAGCGGCAGGGTACTGAGCCCACACAGTGCCAGCAGGGACAGATGCCAAGCCCGCTCCAGTTCACACGGCCTGACTGTCCTTTGGGCAGCCAGCCCTGCCCAAGGGCTCTATTTGAGAGCAAAGGCGCCTCCCCTTCCCCGGCCATCTCTCCACCCCATGAGTAGGGTCTCCCTCCATGGGAGGAACCAAGGGGGCCTTCCTGAGAGCAGGGAAAGGAGGAAAACAAAGGGTCCTTGAGAGAAGCCAAGAGGAAGATACGGGGCACCACCTGGACATGCTCTCCCCCCAACCTCCCCGGGGCTGCCGGAAAGGTGCTACCCTGGGGTCTCCCCAGGAGCTGGGGTTAGTGGCTTCAGGGTTAGCAAGTCAAGCTGGTCAGTTGTTGGTCACGGCGAAGGACAGGCATGAAAGGTGTGCAGGCCTGTGGGCCATACGGCGCAGTCGGCCCTGCCCTCCCCCCCAGGTCTCCCCCCACCCCTCCCCCAGCAGCATAGCTGTGTGGTGAGGTGCCAAGGCTACTGCCAATTTTCTGAACACAGCACAGGGTACTGCGCCCGGGCTGTTTGGTTTGTCCCCTCCCCACCCGTGCTCCCGTCCAGCCTTGGAGGAGGGGCCAAGTGGGAGCCGTGGGGCCGGGGCGCGGGTAGTCAGCCCCACCACCTGGACGACCCAAGGGGAGACAATGCCCTTCGCTTTTCCACCCCACAGATGGGGTTCACGCCAATGAGGGTGGAGGCCAGCGTCTTGGCCACTGACATTAAGAGTCCCAAATATCACTCGTCTCTACTGCAACCAGAGCTAGATTTCTCTCCACCCCCTTCAGCTTGAGCAAAACCAGTCCGGTCCTGGGATAGGCCGCTTCCCACTGGCTCTATCACGGCCACTGCCTCGTCCTCCGGTGCTCCTGTCACCCGCACCCAGGCCTGTGAGGGCAACTGTCCAAGCACAGCAGGGCACTGGTCTCTCGCCAAAGGACAGGGAGTCCCAGGAGTTCCAGACAGAGCTCTGAAGGCAGCCAGCGTTGTGTTTCGGGTGGCCCCAGTGCTGGGCTCTGGACGTGGCAGATTTTTTTAAAAAGATTTTATTTATTTATTTGTCAGAGAGAGAGAGCACAAGCAGGGGGAGTGGCAGGCAGAGGGAGAAGCAGGCTCCCTGCTGAGCAGGGAGCCTGATGCGGGGCTCGATCCCAGGACCCCGGGATCATGACCTGAGCCGAAGGCAGACGCTTAATGACATGACTGAGCCACCCAGGTGTCCCTGTGGCAGATTTTTAATGCAAGTCTGCTGGTCATTCTCCACCAAAAACGGGGGGAGGGGTGAAGAAAGCAGAGCTGAATGAGCAGCAGGGACTTCCTTGCCTTCAGAGCCCCACAGGCATCTGCAAAGGACTCGGAGACATATGATTCTGCTGGGCGGGGCGTGTGACTCAGACACCGAGTCCCTCCAAGGACCGGTCAGGATGGCAGCCGCTTCCAGTGCTAAACCACCCAGTCCTCAGGGGGTACAAGCTCGGCCAGAGGAATGAAAGAGGGTGCGTGCCAACACCGAGATGGTTGGCAGTGCGATCCAACTCCAAACCAGGGCTGGGCCACCTTCCTGTGTCCCAGCCAAAGATAAGACAAAGCCCATTGTTCCGATACCCAGTAGGGTGCCCTTGCCGGTCTTGGCTGCTTTACCAGCTACATGATCACAGGCCGTAATGGCCACAATTAACTAAGTGCTCACCGTGTGTCAAGCAGGTTACACACATCGGCGCGGATCGCTGGAGGAGGCAGGAGAGCCCAACGAGATGGCAAAGCCAGTCATCCCAGGTGATCCACTCACCGATAGCCACGTGAGTGCCAACTGCATGCCGTGCTCCAGGCCAGGCACTGGGGATCCAATGAGAGTGAGACCCAGCCCCTGTCCTTGGCCCCCTCCTCAATTTGTGGCAGAAAACAGACAGAAAAAAGGGTGCAGGAAATATAAAGTAAGACCATCTAGAGAAACTCCTGCCCATGTGCACCAGGAATCCTGAACAATAACAATCCTGATCATAACAGTTGTGCTTGTAATAGCAAACAAATAAAATAAAATGGAAATAACATTAATGGCCAAAAAAAAAAAAAAAAACCCAAACCAAAAAACCCAACCCTCGAGAGAAACAAAGTGAGAGATGCCATGATGGGGGCATTAACTGAAGCCCAGCTTCATGACAACTGGGTAAATCCTAAACGAGGCCTGCCATGTTATTTTCTACAAATTGTTTAAATCCCCTAATGCTCCATTTCCTCCTCTGTAATACTGGGATGAATACTACCTAAATCAAACAGTTCTGTGAAGACTAAACGTGACAATCTATACAAAGCGCTTACCTCAGGATAAATAAAAATAAATAAAATATGATTATCCCTTTTTTAGTTACCCACAAAATAGATGATATGCATAGATTTAAAGTATGACATCTTGATATATTTCTAACTTTATCACGTGTATACATTTCCAAAACACTCAACTCTCCAAAAGTTCGGGGTCTCTAAACTGCACTTGATTCTTTACTGAGGGTCACCAGGGTGGCCACATAATTTAGTGCCTAAACCAGGACACCTCTGAGAGTAGGGGAAAAAAAGGGAGGATGAGCAATCCTACCAGGACAAGGGTGTAAACCAGATGTAGCATTTTGAGCAAACTGGAGGGTCTGGTCACTCTGTGTACTGTTCAAGGGCCAATTTCAGGGGCAAGGCCAGCAGCCATCACAATGCACCCCCCTCCACCACTTTTGGGAGCTGCCAAGCTTGAGAGCTGGCCCAATAAGACTCCAACCTGGATAAGGCCAGCAATGGTGTCACCCCACCCAGCAGTCAGGAAAGTCAATGGACACGGACACACCCCCTCCTTCCACACACACACACACACACACACACACACACACACAGAGCTCCTCCCAAAACCTGAAGAAGGGAGTCAGACCCTGGTCCCGGCACCTGGCACCTGTTGTCACCCCTCACGTGCTATCCGCCAGCACGATGTCAGTCAGCGGTCCCTTCTGCCTCTCGAACATGCCCCTTACCTCAGGTGTCCCAGGCTGTAGAACCGGGACTCGCCGTCGGTGGAGCGGACCACCTGCAGCGTGAACATGGGCTGCAGCTGCCTGAGCTCCAGCAGGACGATGGCCAGGTAATGGATGAAGAGGAGGGCGTCCACCAGGGACACGGCGTACTGCACGATGCCCTGGTAGTTCCGGTCCCGCGAGTCCAAGATGCGGACCCCGTAAAACAGCCAATAGGAAACCACAAAAAGAAAGATGAGGACCAACAAAAGGGCACGGAACACAAACACCCGCGGCACGTCGGCCCTCTGCTTGCGGAAGAAGAGCGCCCAGGTCCCGATGAGCAGAATGAGGAGCTTGAACGCCACGGAAATGAAGAGTCCCTCGCAAATGGTGCCACAAGGCTCCAGCTCGTCCCTCCACAGGATGGGGGGTAAAAGGATGAAGGCGATGGGGGTGAGGAACACTAGAAGTCCAAGGACCGAGGCCACAGTGAGGCCCAGGTAGCGCTTGCAATCCAGCCCCACGCTGTCCTCCATGTCCTTGCTGATCCTGGCAATGTCCTCCTGCGAAATGCTGTGCTCTGAGGTGCCTGTGATGGCTGTCGTGGTCTCTCCCCAGTTGTCATCCTGATGGAGAGAGGACAGTGAGCGCGAAGAGCCACAGGCGGCAGGTCATTGGTACAAGCCACGAAGCCAGCCCTCGGACACATGGAGGGCCCGCCTCCCCGAACCAACCCACACCCACGGGCAAGCCTAGAACGTGGAAGCTGAACCCTTCAAATACAGGAACTGTGAACCTTGACGAGCTTTGCTGAAGTTTTTCAAGCTATATGTTTGTTTGTTTGTTTGTTTAAGATTTTTATTCATTTATTTGTGAGAGAGAGACAGAGAGAGAGAGAGCACAAGCAGGGGAAGCAGTAGAGGGAGAGGGAGAAGCAGGCTCCTCACTGAGCAAGGAGCCCGATGTGGGACTCGATCCCAGAAGCCCGGGATCATGACCTGAGCCGAAGGCAGACACTTAACAACTGAGCCACCCAGGCGTCCCTTTCAAGCTGTATGTTATATTCACCTTTTCAAACAGAGAAAACACAGTCTAACCTTTTGGTGGGTGTGTTGGGGGGCTTCATTACTCTAATGTTGATGATCATCCCCCATGTTGGAATCTCCTGAGAGGCCCTGGGCCCTGCAGTAAGCAATCCCACTGCGAGGCAGAAGAGGACTCTGCGTTCTCTTCTTAGTTCATGGCTGGGTTAAAAAGGCTGACAAAGTCCAGCTTCTGGAAGTGGGGCATTACAATACCCTCCAGCAGCTCTGAAAAGCTATACATATAAATCACAGCTGACCCATAGCTAGTTTTTTGTTTGTTTGTTTGTTTTTATAATTATCAGTGTCAAGCACTCCTTGACCATGTTTCTCACTGAGCAAGCTAAGCAAATTCAAGTACCACTGGCCAGGACAGCTCAAAAATTCCTCCCCGAAAACACACGTTCTCATGACACACTGAACCTCGAGGGCACAGAACTCCCAGGCTATTGCAATGTGTCTTTGACTTTCTTGCTTTCTCTCTCTTTATAACCTCTGAGGTAGTTTCCAGTAGGACCAATCAGTCCCTTTAACGAACAAGATCCAGTTCTTAGGGTTTTTAAACAATTCTGCTGTTTTGCCAGCAACCCTGACTCCACTACGAAGCAACAAGAGAACAAGAAGGCAACGAAAAGCCACATGGGGTCCACAGAGGTTTTGTCTCAGAGATTTGTGTATATGATTTAGCTTGGAAAAAACAGTCTGATGTAGGGGCAAGCCGGGTGAAATTCATGTGGAAGACACCAACTTAGAAAAATGTAGTTTAAGCTGACAGCTGAATCAGCAGGACAGGGATCCCACAAATAATAACCTTAAATCTAGTAATGACCAGAAAAATATGATTTATGAATGTATAGGCTACAGCAAGGAGTGGTGGCGGTGGCAAAGGTCTTGACCTAGGAACAAAGAGTTCTTCAACTTGGAAAGTGACACGTGTCACACACCATGAAAGAAATGACTCTGCAGGACAACAGACAGAAGCCACCAAGACTCTCACACATGGCTGAGGGAAGTATAAAATAGTACAATCGCTCTTGAAAATGGGTCTGGCAGCATCATATAAACTCAAATATAGGCTCAACTGTATGATCCGGCAAATTCCACTCCCAGGTTTTTATCCAAAATAAATGTAAACATATGTCTGCAAGAAGAACTGTGTCAGAATGTTCTTAACAGCTTTGTTCGTGACAGCCCCAAATGGCACACCTCAGATATCTATCCATCAGGAGAACGGGTAATAAATTCATACAACAGAATCTCCTCAGCAAAAATAAAAAAGGATGAATTGCTAAAACTCACCAAAACATGGATAAGTCTCAAAATCATTATGCTGATGGAGAAAAGTCCGAAACAAAAGAATATGATCCCAATTACATTAAGTTCTAAAACAGGTAGAACTAATCTACAGTGATAGAGATCAAAACAGGGTTTTTATCTTGGAAAGGTGGGGATGGGGATGGGAACTGACTGGGAAGAACATAAGAGAACTTTGTAGAGTAATAAAAAAAAATATATATATATTTTGATAATGTGAGTTACACGGGTTTATTCAGCTGTTTGAACTTCTCAAACTGTACACTTTAGATCTGTTCATGTCTCCGTAGGTAAATTTACTTCAATTAAACAAAAAAAATCACCAATAGGGGAAAAAATAGCCACAAATTCAAAGATCGACAGTACTCGTAATATAAGGTAAGTTCATAAAATACTTTACTATGTAACACTCTGGAAGAGTATAGGGCCAATACCAGATGCCATGTTTTGTATTGGGCCTAATATTCAGGTGCTAATCAATGTGGAAGTAATAATTACTAGTATCTCGTGGTCATTTGGTTGACCACTGCACTGCTATGATTTAGCTATTCACCTTTTTTCCCACCCAAGAGTTGCTAACTAAATCCCCTTTACATTTTGAGAATGGATGTACCTCTGGGCCTAAAAAATGTAATGTCCAAAGGGTCCTCTTAAGCTTGGGGTTCTTAGAACAGAAAGGATCTACGATCTTCTAATCTGATACCCAAGAGCCTGAGGCCCACAAAGGTCCGGACTGCCCACAGTCACAGAGCTACTGAGAAACACAGCCTCCAAATGCCCATTTCCATGCTTTTCTCCTCACATCAACTTGGCATAAACACCAACAGCTTCCCAATACAGCTTCCCAGTGGGCTACAAGACGCAGAGAAGCTGCAAAGAAATGCCTTCACAGTGGGCCCCCAGCACCTCTGAATCCGCATCTAGAAGAAGACTGACCCCCTGCAGCACTTCAAGGTGGTCCAAATCTTAGGATTAGCCCCAACCATCCAACCATCCCTCTGGCCCTCCCAGAGCCATGGCAGGTAGTGCAAGGGTAAGGACTAATGACATGTACTCATCACTGGACAAACTCCACCTTCATCCCACAGCTGAGCTTTGGGTCCCAAGAGCACCTTGTGTGCTCTGAGGAATTCCAATTTTAGTCCATCTATCTGCTTATAAATGCGTATCTCTGTGTACCTGCAGGTGTGAGCATACATAGGTTTATATGGGGCCATGGCTAGCCACGCATATATTTTAAGAGCTGTGGAGGGTATGCACACGTTTCTGAGGACAACTCAGATGTTTATTTAGATCAGGTGGGCCACCAGATAGTTAGGACTCAGCAAGAAGAACCCACACAGTGTCTTTTAAAGATTAATACATTGCCAATATTTAAAAATTGGGTGATTTCACATAAAATCCTAATTTCCAGCTTTTCTTAAATACCACTAGATCCAGGAGCACTGAATTCCCGCACTCTTGAGCGGTAATAAGAGTCTGGAGCTGGGGAGCTGCCATTCCTCTGACAGAGGAGATGCATTCTCTAGTGTGCTACAGACCCCATCGCTGCATGCCACAGCCCCGACAATGATGTGCCACCCAGGTTGCTGCTCACCCCCCAAGCTTGCCCGATATGTTCTGGCCCCTTCTCTGTGGGCCAGGGCCTATTTCATTCATCCAGTTTTCCTGTCAGGCATCTAAGTGTACAGACCTCCGATTTACTTCATATACCTCGCAGTGGTCAGTCTGGGCTGTCTTAACCTCTTGCTCCCCACAGCACTTGGGGCTTCTGGAGAAGAGTTTCCTTCCCTGGCGTCCTGTTCCACTTTGGAACGCACCCCCGGAGACGACAGCCTGTAACTTTCCCTTTCTCTGCCCTGTCATCAGCCCGGTGGGCTTCTTTTCAACACCATTCAAAGCAGGCCAACCAATCACAGTTCAGAAGAATCCCCGAGGTAGCCAATGGCAGAACAGGCTGTCCTTAGACCAACAAGAAACCACGAGACATAGAGAAACTCATTACCATGCTAGAAAAATAAAGATAAAAACCCAAGAGAACCTACTGCAACAAGACTTAGGAAAACATTTACTGAAAAGAGTCTTGATCAAGGGGCAGTGTGCTTACAGACTGCCTTTGATCCTTACCTGAACTTCCTCCGTCCGAGTAGAATCATTTGCCAACAGGGGCTCTCCGGTGGGAGCTTGAATGGTGACAGATTTTTCTGACCCTCTGCCATCTTTATTCCGGGGTGATTTGTGTCTCTCTCTATTTCTCTCCCTGAAAAAAAATGATAATCAGCTAGCACATTCATACTGTGTGAATCACCTCTCATTGAAATGTATTATACATTTCATTTTGAGTTAGGAAAATTCTACACACGCATATATATATATATACACACAGACACACACACACAGACACACACACACACACATACACACGGTGCCAATACCCATCGAAGCCACCCCTGCAAGGAGTAAGCAAATTTTTACCCCCTACTTAGTATTTTCTTTCTGCCATTCCAAGACCCAAAACAAAGACTGTCACTCCTCCCTCAACAGTGGAGTTAAAAATAGATTTTTTCAGGGGTGCCTGGGTGGCTCAGTCGTTAAGTGTCTGCCTTCGGCTCTGGTCATGATCCCGGGGTCCTGGGATCAAGCCTCACATCGGGCTCCCTGCTGCGCAGGGAAGCCTGCTTCTCCTCTCCTACCCCCCCTGCTTGTGTTCCAGCTCTCGCTGTCTCTCTCTGTCAAATAAACAAATAAAATCTTTAAAAAAAAAAAAAAAAGATTTTTTCAAAGCCTAAAATTATGAATTTTAGAATTTCTGTAGCTGAGGCACATTTTACTGTAAAATTACTGACTTGATTTGGTTATAATATGCCTACATTTATTTTCTAGGGCTTTCTTGCGGGGACAACACGCAAAATATTTACCCTTGGTCTGTCCAAAAAAATCTGGGACACATTGTCACCCTACACCTTTGGATAAGTTGAGAAGAAAGGAAATTCTAAACCGGTACAAAGAAGCATTTACTTCTCACTCCTACAAATTCAAACTGAAAGTCATTCCCACAGATTCTGGCTGAATTCAAAGGCACCCAGAGGAATAATAAAAGCCAGGACAAATGACACCAAGAGGTGCGTGTGTGCGTGTGTCTGTATTTTCAGGCTTCCTAAGGAAAGCAGGCTGCTGCCTCATTTTACCCCAGATGAACTTCCTGGGTGGTCTTCCAGGGTACCTGCGAAAGCACCCTGCCACGGGGTCAATCTTGAAATTACGAAAGGAATCAATCGCTGTGCGAAGCTCAGAAGTCACAACCTAGCCATTAACCACCTATGGAAACTGGCACTCCTGTCCCCCAGCTGTGAACAGTCAGTCCAGGAGCCCCCACAGAAGGAGCCTGTCTGTCAGTGTCCCCTGTCTTAGAGATTGCCTTGACATCAGTCCTCTCTTCAAACACCTGCTTTCATTCCCAAGCACCCCCCCCGCCCCCCGCCACCAACCCTGGGCAGGACAGAGCACTGCACACACAGACTTTGGGGACAACAGTCAGATCTCAGTTCTGCCCCTATTAGATGTGTGACCTTGCACAAGTTATTCAACTTCTGAAAACCTCAGTTTCCTCTCTGTGAAATGGGGATAATGATAATACCACAGAGATAATGTATGCAGAGCTCGGTACAGGGGCCTCGGAGGAGATGTACAAGGAACTATTAACACACAGTTCAACTCCTTCCCCTCCACAGCATGTCTCCTAATAACCTGCTACTTAGCCAATAAAATCACATGCAGTCTTTCTGTGGGCAAACTCCAACCTTAAGAGCACCTCTCCAGGATAAGCATTGGTTAGTTCGTTCAAAGAGCAGGGAGGCATCCTCGATCCCAGAAACTTTCAGTTGAGAGCATCTCTAATTTCTAGAGCATCACTTATCATCCTGATCTATTGTTAAATTAGAGTCTAGAAATACATGTGTTCCGATCGACTTGGGTGTTTTAGTTTAACCAGGTAACTGGTGGGGGGTGGGCAGCAGAAAATCTGTTTTAACTAGAGAAGTATCTATCAATGCCAATCATTCCACTTCCCACTCCAATTTAGAGAGCACTTTATTAGGTGCTCTATGATATTAATTTCATTCGATCTGGACAATAACTGTATGAGGACAGGAGTCTTGTCCCCATTTTAGAGATGAAGAAACCAAGGCTCACGGAGGTTGACTGATTTGCCCAAGTCGTAGTAAGTGGTAGAGCAGGATATGACCCCAGGTCTGCTCCCACCACCTTGATTCACACCCACTGTGCTGCGCTGATCTGAAGAGCAACTGGGGAAGATCCGGCAGCATTAATATTCCTAACGCTCGTCCTGACACCCTCTAGCTGAACCGCTGGAGCTCTGAAATCTGCCTGTGGGGCTACCGTTGGCAGTCACAGATGCACTGTGAACTTGGGACAGCACAATGCAATGAGCCCAAAGCTCTGGGCTGCCAAAGACAGTCACTTCAAAAGGTCCCAGTGTGAGAAACAATAAACAATTTGGGAGAGGCTTCCCAGGTGCCTGGGCCATCTTCGGGGTGATCTGTGTGGACGAAGTCTAGAACCCCTGCTTCCCAGGGCCTCCATCGGCCAGACCCAGGAGTCTCCTCTTCTATCTTCTGTCTCCATCACCCCCAACTGCTCCCCCAGCTATCAACTCTTTCTGTCATCAGCCAAGTCATGTGCTCCCCTAACCCCATCTATCTATTCACTAGTCCCATGGGTCAAATCCTGTGACAGCACAAATTCCACTGGAAACCAGAATTCTTTCACTGAATGCCAAGCGCTGGAGCCTGAACACGGCCAAGGCAGAAAGCAGGTGGGGGACACACCCAGGGCTGGAAACTGCTTCTCCAGGGCCAGCCATCACTCGGACCCCTGGCCCACCCCACCGGGCTCTTAAAGGGCCCAATGGCATCCAAAGAAGACACAATAGCCTGAACCATTCCCTTGGTGACATCTGGTAAGCCAGATAGGAGCCTATTATCTGATAACCCCAGGAAGGGAAGGTATTCTCATCCCCCAGAGCCAGAAACCAGAAACCAGTGCTTCTCACACCTGAGTGTGCAGAGACACCACCTGGGGTGGGGATTTAAGTGCAGATTAGCTGGCCCCACTCCTAGGGAATTCTGGAAGGGAGATAACAGGAATCTGCATTTTCACCAGCACCCCAGGTGATCAGGATGCAGGTGGTCCAGGAAACTTTCCCCAAGGTTCTTCCACCCAAATGCTCCCAGGGAGAGGGTTGTGGTATTGAGTGCTTGGGGGTCTGGCTGTCTGTGAAATGCCTGTATACAGCAGGGGCTCAATAACGGGAGCATTATGCTCAGCCACACAATGTCGAGGTGTAGAATAGCTTCTTCATTAAAATAGCATTAAGTGGATGAGGCTGGGGAGAAGGCTCAGGCCAGCGTGCATCAGGGCTCAGCATCAGCATCAGCCTTGTGCTGGTCCCTGTTCTCAAAGGAGCAAGACCTATCACACAGCTTTTATAAAAATCACTGGTCGTGAATTACTGCTCCGGGAAGGCGTCTGAGCCAGTACTAAATAGAGAAGTCCAACAAAAACACTGCCATTCAGTGTTGTCCAGGGTGCAGAGCTCGGACCACAGGATGGCTGCTTCACTGCACAAGGAGCCCACATGTTCATCTTGACAGCTCCCAACACTGGGACTCCAAGCAAGTGCCAAATGGACTCTGGGAGAGGGCTTCCCAGTGGTGAAGACAACCTGTTCATGGGATCTAAGAGTGGAAACAGGAGACATGGGGGGGTGGGGGTACGGCTATCAAACCACAAAAGGGCTGTCACAAACCCATGCACACTGGGGAGTGCTTCCAGCTGTGCCTGAGTGGTCGGGATCACTGGTGCCCCTGCCGGGCAGGCATGTCAGCCACAGGAACCGCTGTATCTTTACCTTGGAGTGTGTCTCCATGCAACATCTGCCCGGAAGGGTACAGACCAGTGTATCTGTGCTTGTTTGTGTGCAGGCGAGAGGGTGGGAAGAACAAGCAACAGCAGGCAGGAGGCCCGGGCAGGTGTCTGTACCTGCGTGTGTTTGTGTGTGTGTGTGTGTGTGTGTGTGTAAATGCATCTATTTAGGCGATTCCAGAGCTGGGCCCTTGGGGGCTGCTGTAAAACCCCCTGGTTCCAGCCAGAACCCCCATCAATTCCTGTTCCCTTCCCACTACAGTCTGCATTTCCTGGGAAGACCATTTAGCTCTGTTTCTGTTGTTGGTCTATTTCTATTTGGGGAAAGCTGGCCCCACCAGTGCACCCCTCCCTTTCCTTCTCTAGCACCACCCACTACCTGTCCTTGCCCTGCTGATGGCGGGGCTGTCTGGCTGCTTCCGCTGGCTCGGCACGGACCGGGTGGGAGGGCCGGGCACAGCGCAAACCGACTCCGAGGCCGCCCGGGAACACAAGCGCCAATTCTCTCGGCACTCTGGCCGCCCGCTTTTGGGCATTTCAGCACATTAGTCACATGAGTCCTCCCCGCCCCCCATTCCCCCTACAGGATACCCCTGCTGTTCTCCATCTAGCACAGCCCCGGGGGGAGGGGGGGAATCCTGGGCTTCCAAAGGTCCCACAAGTCAGGCCCGAAGCCTGCTAAGGGTACCTGCTAGCCTCATAAGGTCAGGCAATCACACTGCCTCTCTGCATCTCCCATTTTATCACCTGCTGAATGGGGACACCACCTCCCCACGGCTCTAGGACTGCCGTGAGGATGGAGGCCAGGGACTGAGGGTCCTCGCAGGTGCCCGCCAAGTGTTCCTTAGCATCACAGGCCACTGCCGTATGTGACGCAAAAACTGCTACTCCAGGCTCAAAAGGTAAGGTGAAGTCCGCTGAAGTCCGCGCCATTTTCCCAGCAAGTTGACTAACTGGACACCCTCTGGAGAGAGCAGACATCACAAGACCAGACCGCTGACCTCTTTGTTGGAAAAAAGTCAGTTGTCATCTGTTTGGATCCCAGCCAGCCCCCCAAAGCTGATGACGGTGTCACTGGGCATATCAAATTTGGTGCACTTCATTATTCCTCTCTGGGTGAGAGGCCTGCTACAATTACCAAAGAGCAAGGTCCTTCCACTTTCCTACTTTTCCATTCAAATTCCTGACAAACCCCTGAGCAGAACAGCCTTCATGGGGACCCTCCTGGGGGATACCGTACCCTTGGCTGAGGCTAGGGCCTGCTTACACACCAGTGAGGTGTATTCTTACCGCTTAATATTCTTTATGCCCTGACACAGTGCTCCCCAGCACGCACCATCTACAGACTGTAAGCTTCTTTGCCCCGTAGTTCACTACCTCGCCTTACAAGGCCCTCAGAGAATTCACCGCATGTGGGTGTTGTTTTTTCCTCAAGAACCCACAGAATCTCTGATGGCCATCCCTTCCACCCAGAGCTTTTCTGAGTAGGCATTCGGTAACACTCCTTGATTACTTTATTAAAAGGCTCAGCTGGTACTATCATCTGCCAGGTACTTTCCACATGGGTCCAAGAAGGCACTAAGAGTTCCGCACGCCGTTTTAATTGGAAATTATTGTCTCTTAAAGTCACCCTAAGAACCCTGCTGGATCAATTTCTGGGGGCCCTAAGAGGCCTGAGAAAAGAATGGAGCAGAGCCTGGGCCCCTGACATAGAACAGTCAGGGCCCATGTGAGGCAGAGGAGACCAGAGGTGGTTCCTCCTCAGAGTCCTGTAATGCATCACCCCTGATTTATCCCCAAGCACCAGCAGCACCCCAAATTCCTACTTCTGTCACTGCCGTGTGGAAAAGAGAAGCTTGGCACGCCGACAAGGGAATGGCTTTCTCCAACTGGATGATTCCAAATGGCTATTTCTGGTGTTTTAGAATGAAACTGACATGTTCACCCGCTGGTTGAAATTTGTGAGGAATCTTTGATCACCAGAGGGGTTCTGACTTTCCAGAGACCTGGGCTCTGCCTGTCACCTGAGGCCTCCCCAGCAGGCTTCTGTTCAGCATGCTGCCAGAAAGACTGACCCAGCCTCCAAGAAGAGCACGTTCACATCCTTTCCCCACATTTTTATGATTTTAAGACCAATACGTGAAAATTTAGAAAATAATAGAGGTTTCAAAAACAAAAAACAAAAAACCCACCCATAATCTTAATAATCCTATACTCAGAGACAGGACAGGCATGGCCAACAATGTTACCATTCATCTTCTCATAAAAATATAGAACTATTATAAGGCACAAAGTTTTCACTCTTGTTTTTTATGTCATGGCCTCATAAACATGATTTCTCAGGTCATTAAACAATCTGTGTAAATGGTTGTTTTACATTCTTTTATTCCGTTCAGATTTTTAATTACAAGCCACGCCCTTGTGGAAGGCTGAACAGATACAGAAAGATAAAGCAAAAACAAAAATTCCCATCAGTCACCATCTCGTGTCTGGCCCCTTTGCTGTGGGTGACCACTGCAGGCAGCTTGGAGAATACCCTTCCAGACCTCTGGCTGCCTGCGTACACCCAGACGGGCTCACATAAATAAGTCAATTAGATCGACGCATCTTATTGCTGCATTACAGCTTAACAATAACCCACAACCCTCGGACCAACTTTATTGCTGCATTACAAAACAAAGTCCTGCTCTGCATTCAGCTACCCATGTGACGAACTGCTTGGTCAGGGAAATGCCACTTACAACCACTGTTCCCAGCCCTCGCGGGGCTGTGACCGCAGCTGGGCCTTTGGGCTGTGGCCAGCTGGGACCTTTGAATGTGGTGCTGAAATGCCACGACCGTTAATAGCATTATACAGTCACTGGTTAGTGACCTCTTACCTGTGGGCCGTGTTAAATGCTTTATACGCACAATCTTATTGAATCCTCTCCACAGCCCTGTGAGACGGCTGTACCCATTTCACAGATGAGGAGGCTAAGTAAGAGGCAGCACTACAACTTCACCAACTGGCTCCTTAACCTCTCCATCCATTCGTTCCCTCGTTCCTTTACTCACCAAACATTCCGTAGGTCTGTAGTAGAGCAGGCCCTACGAACACCAGTGCAGACCTGTGCATGTTGCACAGAGGAGGGGAGCCTGGCCCTCATCACCCCGGATGGCGGGTTTTCATCAGAGAGAAATATGGCACTGGGCCAATTCCATCACCTAGTGTATAAACCTCAGGGCAAACGCCTAATGGGTGATGAGTCAGCAATTTGAGGTACAAAGCAACAGATCAACACTTTCTTTTAAACTTTCATTTACATTCTTGGTAAAGCTTTGGGAGAACTGTCATCCATGAGAAGTATTTAGAAATGACAAACATTTCCACTGCAGGGAGACACTTAAATTTAAAATCAGTTGTGAGAAATTAAGGTCATCGACTGTGATGGCAGCTATAAAATGTAAATTGGTGGTATAGTTACTCCCAGCGCTTGTTAAATGCTCTTAAAGCCCGGCTTCTCCTGCAGCTGTGGACCGATCCTCCATCATCGACAGCCCCACAACCCGGCTTTACTACTTGAAAAGTGAGTCGAGAAAGCTGGACCGACCTGCGGGTTTCCCCCAAAAGGAAATGTGGAACAATCAAGAGCTTACATACCCTTGTCTGTGAGATTTTTTCGAATGACTGGAATAGTAAGAATATCCAGAATATGTGGATTCGGTATCCATAGCAATGGGGAGCTCGCTCTTGAGGAAGGAGCAGCACCGTTTCTCCTCAGAGGTAGAGAATTTCCACCCACTAGACTCCTAAAGCCACAAAGGGTCTGGAGATCCAGGAGCCACTGTTCGACGGGAACAAATTCTAGGAAAAGCAGGGAGGAAAAAAAAAAAGATCATCAACTTTCAAAGGCAACCCAAAGATTCTAGAAGATAAATGACAGTAGCCACCTCCCCTCTGGGGTCTCTGTTACAGAACAAGTGAGCAGGGAAGGAGCATCTGAATGCTAAATGCTTCCCCAGGTGTCCGGGAGGGAGACAGGGAGGTGCTGGGCAGGCTAAACCCCTACCACAGCGGCTGGGCCTACCAGACGTGGGAGAGACCTGGCCCTTGGCCATTTCCCGGACACAGCCCCGCTGCATGGGTCCAGGCTGGAGGAAGTGGCTTCCCACCCGACAGCCCACACAGTGCCCAGCCCCCACCACCAGTTTGCCCGTTACAAGAACAATACCCAGGCAAGCAGTTTGTAAGGGATTTTGCTCATAGTTTCCGAAAGACAATTAAAAAAAAAAAAAAAAGTTCTCTATCTCTTTAAACCAGGAATCCAAAGTCCTGAGAATTTCTCTTAGGGAACTAATTTTTTTTTCTTTTAAAGAAAAACTATTACCGCATTGTTTACAGCGGGAGAAAGCGCGAAATAACCTAAATGCCCCCAAAGCAGTGGACTAGGTAAGGAAAACACGATTCCTCCGCCCAGAGAGATATCATACAGCTGTTTAAAATAATCGGGAAGAACAGAAAGTTTTACAACATAATAGTAAATTTAAAAAGCAGACTACGGGACTGTAGATAGGCCCTGATCCTATAGTTACAATCATGTAAAAGGCTTATGTAAACACAGCGATTAAGAGGGAGCATCAGAAAAGGAAGGGAAGCAGGTGGTTTATTCTTTGCAGGCTCCTGGGTCTTTCCCCCCACATTTCCATTAGATGTTGCTTTGCAATAAACATAAACTGGAAACGCTTCCAAGTACTTTCCTGAGGCCCACGTGCTAAAAAACCCTTCACTTCTAAAGGCCTGAGAAGCACAAGTTTGTCTCTCCCGGCATCCTGCACCCCAGTGCTGGTATCTGCCCATCAGAGCTCCTCCTTCAAGTGTCCCCCCTCCTCCCCTGGGGGCTGAAACCGCAAACAGAGCCAGTGACATAAGTGTGAAAGGAGAACAAAGGAGCTGCAAATGCCACAGCCCTACCCCTCCTGGGAGGGGGCCAAGGCTCCCTGAACCCCCACTGCAAGCAACCTGCAGGCCTGGAGCCGATCTCCTGGTCACCTCCACGCACCAACACAGCTCCCAGCCTCAAATACCACTTAAGAGGCCTTTGCCCTTAGCGTTCATTCTGCCTGGAAGTGAGGTGCAGTCACTTCCAGGCGCTGTGACCACGGGAGCTAGCCTCCCTTGTCCTGGGTGTCGTGACTCATGGTTCCATTCCTCCTCTGCCATCAAGAGCCCCAGGCGAGCAGTGGGGTCTAGCCAGAACGCTTCGCCGTCTGATACAACCCAGGAGAAGCCACTTGCCTTCTGCAGCCTCAGACTCCTCATCTGTCAAACTGGGATAAATCACAGGGTTGATCTGAGAAGGGAAACACAGACAGGATCTGAAGCTGGGTTCCAATCCCCGGTTTTCCCCACGTATTTGGTTATTATGTAACCTTGGTCAGATTACTAGTGCTCTGAAAACCTGCACTGTAAAGTGTGAGTCCCAGGGCTGCTGGGAGAAACAAGGGGGCTCCGGCTGCAGGCGACCCCAGCCTGGGCGGCAGGGGCAGCGGGTAAGTGAGAGTTGTGGCTACAGGACTCCCCGTTCAGGCTCTGAAAGCTGATGTCCCTCCTCGTCGTTCTCAGCAAGAGGAAACCTTGGACAGGAGCAGGGCAGAGCTGGGGCCCCACTGGCCCTGCTCCTGCAGCCCATCTGCAGACAGCACGGGGCGTATCTCAGCCCCCCGGGGTTGCTCACTAGCCGTGCAACCAAGCAAGGCAGTTTCCCGCCTGGAAATGCAAATGAGGCCCCTAGTCTGTGGGCTGACTGTGCAAACCAACGTGGTGGCATTTTTTCAGAATGCAAAGTTTTGCTCCTGGACCACTTCCCCTTTCCTAGAAGACTGCAAGAGCCACTCATCCTCTTTGCTCCCAACTGCACCCCCCACCGTTTGCAACCAGCAATTTCAGCAAGTTGCCAGCGCCCTCAATTCTCATCGCCTCTCTGCTCTGGGCTTTGCTGCTTGTTCATCTGTTTTGTACCTGGCTGACACCTACATCAGGAGGTGAGCCAAGATCCCCACGCCTGCCCAGCATGAGCCTCTTTCCCTAAAGGCCCTGGGCCCGGCTCTCTCATCATCCCCCTTCCCGTCCCCACTTCCAGCTAATTCTGGCTAAATGCTGCTGGGGTGTCTCAGAGGCAGATGACCCAGGCCCTGCAGACCTGGGCTGGTGCTATTCATGCTTCGTGGTTGCGACATTGCTGAGCCACTGTTGCCCCGCCCCCCATAAAATGAGGCCATTTAACATGAGCTCTTCCTAGGTCAGTGAGAGCAATAAACCAGGCTCCCTACGTAAGGCGCATGGTAACCCAGGCTACATTCCCCTTCCCCCTCTGCAAGAGGACATCATTCCAAGTTCTCATTAAAATCTCTGGCCATCCATTAAAACAACCCCAGGCACGTCCCTCAAAGGAAATCACGGGCTCCCAAGTGCCCTCTGGGGAGAGGCTCTACCAGCACCCAGGTGCGGGTTCTCCCACAAGTCCCACCTTGTACTCCTCAAAGGGGTGGTCTGTATACGCTGCCATCCCCTCCCTCTCAACGGTCACCCCAATTCTCTCTCAACACTCCACTGAAACAGCTCTAAGTGGGCCAAATCCAAAGGTCACACCCTCGTCCTCCTTTCCCTAGACTTTCTGATCTCATCTCTGCATTCATCTCTCTCTGTATTTAGCAAGCAGCCAAAGGAGAGCACGCTAAGCAATGCTGGGACACAGCAGTGACAAGGGAACGCACACGGCGCCCTGCCTGTCTTCCCAGAGCTTTCCGCTGCCGGCCATCCTCTAGACAGGACAGCGCTGATGCTACCACGTCAGTGAGTATCTCCCAACTCAGAGTGGTAGCTCCCAACACTCCCTCCCTCTCCCCCATCAAGTTATCCCTTAGGGCTCAAAACTCGCCCGTTATTTCTTCTCCATCCCATCCATGGATTTACTCCAGCATAAGCTCCTTGGAGACAGGAGCTACCGTTTACCTACTGTAGGATACTCTGCACGTAATAGGTACTCAACAAATACTGAAAGAATAAATCCCCAGTGCGCATCTCCCACCCAGCTGCCTCTTGTTCCCCCTGGGATTATCAACATCCCCACGAGTGCTTTCTGGAGTCCCGGACTAGCTTTCCAATGTCCTCTGCCAGGGGGGTATAGTCATCCCATCAAACCCGTCCACGCAGCCCCGTGCATTTCTGATTCTCTCTCTCTCTCTCCCGTGATTCCCACACATCCCACTGCCACTAAGTGTCATCTGTCCTCAGGGGCCTCCCCTCACTCTCCTGGTGCTCAGCCACCCACCTCCCCTAGGCTCCCTGGACAGAGGGCTAACCTATTACAAAGCCTGCAGGTTTCCCCGTGGAATCCGGTCTCTGGTCTAGGCTGAGCTCAGGCTCCTTCCCCTAAGTCATGCTGTCAACTCCTGACCGGGATCCAAGGAAGGATTCAGCATGAGCAACGGGAAGCAAACTGGCAAAATCCAGAGAGGGCTCATTTTAAGGGCCAATGAAAGAGCGTGGATAGAGTTACCAGAAGCCCCCATCGTGGAGCTTATCACTGCAATGATATGTTGACGAGATAGTTGGCTCGTATGCACAAGAAATTAGCAGAACTCAAATAAGGTCAGAGGGATGCCTTATCAGGAAGATAATAAAGTAATGAAAAGGAATCAGGTTCCCCGGGCTGATAAATAGATAGGCTGGTGCACCGGCCCGAACGGGACAGTTCATATAAGGGTGTAAATATGGATCCTGGAATCTGGAACTCGCCCTCTCTCATCCTAACCCCGGAGATGACCCACACCGGGCAGCTGGGCAGCCTCCAGGGTGATCTTCCATATCACAATGTGAATGTCACTTCTCTGCTTAAAACCCTTCCATGGTGCCCCACTACAGTTGGAATAAAACACAAAATCCTCCATTTGGTCCGCAGGGCCCTGCCCACCTGGCCAACTGTACTCTCCTTCTCGGGCGCCAGGCCCTTCGAGGCACCGGGCTCTCTGTAGCCTCAGAGCCTTGGCAGAGCCCAGTATAATGACTATCCTGTCCACATGCCCTCTTTAGTCCAACTCGTACCCATCCCTCTCAACTAAATCCTGCTTCTTTCAAGAGGCCCTTCCGGATCCTCCAGTCTGCGGGGGGCCCCTTCACAGCACCCCCGTACTTTTCCTTTAGAGCCCGATTTCCAGTTCCACAGGGGCGTGATGACTTCACGTCTGGATCCCAGAGAGACGGTCAGCTCCCAGAGGGCAGGGACCACGTTCAGTGCGGTCTGTCCAGCTCCTAGAATGTTAACAGGTGCCCAATAAACGTGGGCCAAGGAAGGGGTTCTGTGGCAGACCTCAGGCTGTGGAGGCCACATATCCGCTGGGGAGGGAACCTTAGAGGCTGCCCATCTTCCATTCTCAGTTCGCCAGGAGAGGACAGCAACGCAGGGATGAGGTTAGGAGCGATGTCAGAACCACCGGCTTTCGGTTCACACGACAGTCTCACTCAGCAGCAAAGCTTCTATTCCAGACACGCTAAGTAAAAGTCAGCAGCAGTCTCAGTTCAGCTGCTGCCCAGGGCACCCCTGCCCAGCCGCCTCCCCTTGCCTTCCTGCCATTCACCCCTGCAGCACCTGGGGTATTAGCAGCTACAGGCCCCAAGCTGGGGGCAAGCGCCAGGATGGGGCCGGAGCTGGTCCATTCACATCTCCCAAAGGCCAGGAGAGCAGTGCTGAGACAGGTGCGCTTTTGCCTGCATGGCAGCATCTTCAATTCTGGGGGCCCCAGGCAAAAAGGTGAGAGAGAACCCCGTTCGCCACACTTTCTTAAAGCGAAGATCGGTGGCCTCAAAGAGAATCTTTCCCCAAAGTTAAGTTCGCCCCCATAAAACAGACCTGACTACTACCTAAAAGAAAAACACAGTGTTCGGAAAATCCTATGAGGGAAATAACATACTATGGTAATGACAGTGGTAAACATTAAGTTAACCTTGATGAAAAGGAAATTATAAAAGCATCAACGGCTCTGCCGACAGCTATTAAGTAATTAAGGGAACTCTGGTTTGGAAGGTAGAAAGTTACCTCGCGAGGAGTAGAGAGACGCACACTGCATTTAAAGAGCCGTTCGTTCTGCTCCTTCCGCAGTGGAGGTATTTCCAAGAGAAAGAAGTTTCTGGTACAGTCGTGCTTATGTAGACTGTGCATGTTACGGTTTATCATACACACAATGCTAAAGGGTTTACTCCATTAATTATTTTTCCCCACTAATTATTATCTTTATTATGTGTTGCAGTGCACGTTTTTCTCAAGGTACCCCTTTCTGGTTACATGGCACTCAAGGGGAACATGTAAACTGAAATAATTCTGTTCAAGGTCAGCTCTTCTTCGACAGAGGAGAAGCAATGAACACAAGTTCTGGAGTTAATGCTGTCACCCTTCAAATCCTGGCTCTGGTATGTATCAGCTGTATAACCTCAGATTGAGTTACTTAAATTTGCTGTACCGTCTCCCTAACTCTAACAACAGAATTCTATTTTCCTTATCGGCTCATGGTGGGTATCAAATGAGAAAATTCACAGTCATTTAGAACAGTGCCTCGCACACAGAAGGCACAACGGTTAGGCACTATTATTTATCAGTAAAGTAAAATTCCTCCAGTTAGGAAGACTATCTTGGTATGGCACAACACCTCCGTGTCCCTTGCATTACACTTAACATACATTGTTTGGTCAGTGCTACTCTACCCTGAATGAATACCATTAACTGTAGCTAATCTAGTGATTTCCATTCTGTTCCTTGGGCCTCCTTTTACTAGTCCCAGGTTGGAAGTGAATATCAGACAGATCAGAAAAAAACTGTGTTTTAATTGCATTTATTTGGAGGACCTTGAGGTTATAAGGGAGGGTGGGAAGAAGGATGGCAAGCTTTGCAAAACATTTTGCGGAACTTGTGGTCTCTACACCGTTAAGACATCATCCAGGTTGGCCACTATGTGGGGATCAGAGGGCTTGTGGCATTTGTGACAAACCCAATGATACTTGCATTACAACAGACCTCTTATAAGTGAATGATCCTGGGCCACTGTACACAAGCAAATAAAATGTCAACCTCATTTTACCTGTTTCGCCAATGATTTCAACTCGCCTTCCTAGAATAACTGCTCTTGGCTCCAGTCCCTAATTACCTCTGAAATACCCCCCAGCAGCTGGGTATAGATTTCTGAAGAGCTGTGAGTGGTTAACGTGTCTGGGGTTCTGTGATGTAGATCTGTTTTCAAGTGACCCCCTGATCCCCTGCTAGATTTTTAAGCTTCAAAAAATCGATTTTACAAGTACTACCTCCTCTGTAAATCCCATGGTGCCAAGTCCAATGATCGCTGTCCAATAAATGGGATTCAGAAAGACCCCGATGGGGAGAGCAGCACGCACCTTTTCATCAAGCTTCAGGCGAGACCAAAGCCACTAGCAAAAACATGGTCCAGCCCCAAGTCCACTTAAACCTGTCTTGTCCACCTTCTGGAAAATGGCACAGCACGATGCCCACATCACATGCCCGTACACAGCTAGTCCCCTAGCCACAGCTAATTCACTTTAAGAGAGAGAGCATGGCACTAACAATAAAACAGACTACAGTTCATCGTGTGTTTCCTATGTGTTGTGGGCTGTTTAAATCATTTGCATGTAATAGCTCACTTCATCCTCAGAACAAGCCATATAAGGGATAACAAGTATTCATGTCAAGTTACAGTTAAGGAAAGCAAGGTCACAGTAAGTGAAGGAGCCAGGGCTTGAAACTATGGAAAACGGAGAGCAATACAGCAATTACCAGAACTGTTTATTTACACATCGGAGGGGAGGCAACAATCACAAATTGTCCCAAACCACATGTAACCCACAAAGAATTTTGCAATTTCACCTCCTGCTCACAGGTTCAGTGGCCCAAGCATTGTGGGGAGTCTGGGAGAAAAGAATCTGAAACAGTTGTAGGGAGTTCTCAGCCCAAAGGTAGACACTGCCTATTAAAATACAATGTGATAAGCATGCACGTGATGTGAGGTCTGGGGTAACAAACAGGGTGTGTGTTTGTGTGCGTTAGGGGGATGGAGGGAAGAACACCTTTCTCACTCAAAACCTGTTTATTCTTCAGCAGACTGGGGTGACACGGAATCAGGGCTTGTATGGAAACTTTCCTTTATGGTTCTGTCCCGTTGCTCAAACACCTAAGACAATAAAAATGTCCTGCATGGCAAGCTGTCCTTATAAATATGCCATTCTCCAAATTCTTCTCCCATTTTACTTACAAATTAAGTTGCAACCAAGTCACACTGCCAAGGCTGTAGCAGTGAAAACTTCACACTCGATGTTTCACTAATTACCCTGAGAGACACCAATGTTTGGGAATGCTAAATGCCCATGGGTAAGTGAAGAGTGTTATTTCTCTGAACTGCAGAATAAAACAGTTTCCTCCCAGAAATCAAAGCCCCAGCTATATCACACTAATTTAATTCAACTCTAAAAACTCTAATTAGTGGTTACATAAAATGACTAATTACTTCTCCCTGGTTTTAGACAGTTTCTGCCATGTCACTGAAAAAGCCTAGGAGCTGTGTACTCAAACAACCCACCCTCAGGAAGAAGAATGCTAATTAGCATTGTTGATGGGTGACACAAGCTATAATATTTTCCAGCAACTCTGTAAAATTTATAAACATATCAGGGAAAATGCCAGATTCTTTACAGCTTGCTAGCTTTTGGCATAAAGGTCTAATAATACATGCATTTCCAACCACAGCCCGGTCCAAGGGTGTAACAAAATGCACGCGCCAGCCACACAATCATCACAATAAAGCGCTCTGACATCGCTTAACGAGGAGCTAAACGGGCTCACAACACCTTCTCGGCTGGGCCATTATACCTGGTTTGAAGATGTGAAAACCGAGCAAGAGATTTCTCAGCTCCGAGGCTCACCAGCTTATCTCCGGGCCGCCAGGCCACGGCTCCGCCCCACGCCTGCCTCCACCGGCGACGCGTTTAAATTTTTATAAAGCTTCACACTTCTCTGGGCGCGTTGCTTGGGACAGTTCAAAGACTGCAGGAGGAAATGAGATCCTGCCCGTGGCGAAGGCTGCCCCGGCGCGGTGATTTCCTCCAACTGGGACACCTCGGGCAGAGACTTGCCGGACGCCTTCTGCTCCACCCCGGCGTTTTTTGAAAGTAAACTCCTACCTGCCTGTTGCGCTCTCCCGGGCGCAACCGGACTCTCCCCCCCAAGGCCTGCGGGGCCGGCTCAATTTTGTAAGCGAGGTGTGAACACAGGCCGGCTCTGTGCCGGTTTCTGGCCCAGGGCTGGGCGGCTCCGGAGGCTGGCGGTGACCGGGTCGAGCCCCGCGGTGGGGTGGGAACCGCGGTGCGCGCCCGGTTCCCGGGGAGCAGAGGGTGGCCCGGCCCCCGCCCGCAGGGCCGGTAAGGCCACCCGGGTGCCCCGGGAACGTCGGCCCCTCCCCGCCGGCCGGCCGGAACGCGCACCCCGGGGCGCACCCCAAAGTGCGGAAAGGGCAGAAGGCGGCGTCCGAGGCGTGGGGAGGGAGTGCCCGGGTAGTGGGGCGCAGCAGCGAACGCGGGGCAGGGGCCGGGGCAAGAGGGGCGCACCTCGCTTGGGAGAGGAGTGGGATCCCGGGAGGCACGATCGGGGTGCGGTGCGTAGGCGGGGAGCAGGCTCCCGGCTGGAGGCGAGGAGGGCGGGGACCCGGGGTCCCAGTCCGGGGCAGGGGCGCGGGGGCTCCGCTGCGGGGGCGTCTCTCCGCGGGAGGTATGCACCCCGCGTCCGGCCTCTCGCGGGACTCACCTCTGCGCCGGCCGTGCGGGCTCCGCCGCCCGCGCTCTCGGCTCACAGCGGCCCCGGCTCTGCGGCCTGCGCTGGGCTCCCTCAGAGGCAGAGCCCCGCCGCCGCCGCCGCTGCACTGCCGCTTTCCGCTTCCTGTCCCGGCGCCGCCCCGCAGCCCGAGCCCAGCCCTGCGAGCCCGGCGCGGCCGCGAGCCAAGAGCAGCGAGCGCTGCCGGCCCCGCCGCGGGCCCGGCCTACCTGAAGCGGAGGGCGGGGCCGGCCGGCGTCTCCCCGCCCCCCTCCGCCCCCACCAGGCCCCCAGTCTCTCCACACCCGCGGCACGCTCACAGTCACACCCGCTCGTGCACATTCATGCACACACAGACCCCAGGTACTGACCTCGCGCGCGCACACACACACACTCATTCACACATAGCCCGGATTGACCCGCCCTGCCCACCAACATACTTGTACCCTCAAGCGTGCGCGCACGCGCGCACACACACACACACACACACACACATTCACAATCATACACAAAATCCAAGCCTGTTTGCCCTCACTAGAGACCCACATACATTCATTCGGCCCAGGGACTAACCCCCCTCCACACACACACACACACACACACATTCACTCATATACACACATTCCAAGACCTGAACTACAAATATCCATATACACCCACACCTCAACCAATGTGCATTACTCACACTTAAACTCACAAACAGCCCGGGAAATGACCCCACAAATAACCACACACACCCAGACCCCCCACAGCCAACCCTCTCCCTTGTCCTCCTCTAACAGAGCCATCACTGCCGCTGCTCCCTCCCCCCGCCCCCGTTTTTCTGGAAACTGCTGGAAGAGCACACCTCTGAAGGCGGGCAGGCAGCCCCAGGTTTCAGTCCTGATTCATTCAGGTCGGCTTCCATCTCTGAGTCTCTGTTTCCCTGTCCAAAAAGTGAGAGGATGAGAATGGCAACCCTGCAGGATCATGGTGAAGATTATGAACAGTGGCTGGTGCCCAATAGGCACTGAACAGCTGTCAACTGTTTCTCTGAATATTTGCATTCTTCTTACTTAGTTGTCTTGTGTGGGTAGGGCTAGAGATCTCTGTGGAGAGTCTGGAATCTGGCTGGAACTCAAAGCTGCTTACATGATGAGCTCTCTTGTAGAGGCATGTCTAACCAAGTACTGTGGGCAGCCGGTGCAGGGAAACACACGCCCACCCTGAGCTAGCCTTAGTTGGGGAACTTCAGCCCCCAAAGCTGTCACTGTCCCCTCACCACCTCTCTCTCGCATCCCTGTAGTCCCCATGGTCTCTCCCATATATCGCACTTCTTCAGAGGACATCACGTGTTCAATGTTCCAACCTTGACCCCCACCCCCAGCCTGCCACCAGGTTTCACTGATCACCCTTGGCAACCCAGGACACCTGCCCACCCCTCACCCACCTGTTACCTGTCTCCAGAGGGCAGGTGCTGCTGACTCGGTAGCCAGCTTCCTAAGGGTAAAGCCAGTGGTCTATCCGTCGTGCTCAGGTGCAGAAATACAGAGCTTTATAAAAACGTGTGTCTTTCATCTTGAAAATGTAGATCCCTCAAGGTTACAACAGGCCAGGGATTTCCATTCCTGGTTATGATGCTCCTGAGTAACCCCCATGAAATACACAGATCCTCACTAAATCTTGATGGGAAGTGACTATAATTCAGTGTAGTTTATGAAATCTAGCTACCTTACCATGTGCTTTTGTGGGAAAGGGGGTAGTGCAAAATAAACTCTATTTTAAGACAATAAATTCACATTTAAAGGCCATCTACTCTGTGTTTTCATTTGACAACCTCAAGGATCCAAGTGTAAAAGGTAAGAGCTGGAAAACTTGTCAGGAGCTAAAGGATGGTCTGTATAACCTGGAGGCCTGCCCTGGCTCCCATTTTCTATCAGCAAGTGGGTCAGGCTTATTTAGCTCTTGCCTAAAGTTGAGTTCTCCAGCATAACCTGAATTAGTAATGAAGGTAAAATTGTGGGTTCCATCTGCCACTCCATTGTTTCACTTCTCCATCTGTTCCAAACTCAACTAGGGAAGTGCAGTACTGTGTTGGGTGCTCTCAAGACTCCAGCATGACTATATATGTTTCACAAATTCATGTGTGTATTTCTCCCTTCCTGCCCATTCTCATGGGTAGAATGCTACTCACTAAAATTCTCCCTGTCTGACAACATCTGACTCAAATGCCATCTCCTCCCAAAGCCTTCCCTGCTGGTTCTCACAAGCAGAAAACATTCCTCTCCCCTATTTGAATTCACATAGCACTCTGGGTTTCTATACTCACCTTCTTACCTTGTATTGGTTATCGCACTGCCCAATAATGTGTAACTACCACATCTTATTTATCTTTTTTCCATCAAAGATCTTTCCACATAGTAGTTGCTTAAAAAAAAAAAAGCCTAGCAAATGAATGAATGACTATAAAATACCACTTGCCTTTGGGAAGTTAATAATCTAATCAGGGAACAATCTAATTGAAAAGTTATGACACGCACATAAAGATAGTTAACAATAGGAGAAAATATGTAAAATGTTAAATGCACTAAAGACACACTTTTTAAGAAGTCACTTACCCAACCTTAAGGATTCTGAATATACCTGAAAAACAGCAGTTACACGAGCAAGGCCTCTAATCAACAAAATAGACTGTACAAATTCTATGCTTTGAAGTGGACAGACTTTATAGGTAGGAGAATCTCTCACACCCTCACTTAGATGCTGTTTACACTTTGTTTACAAACCATTCTAATAAGCTTCATCATCTGATTTCTAAACCCACTGTTGATTAGACACTTAACAACAGAGAGCAGAAGGCGACCTCAGGAGACCCCAGGGCCTGCAAAGGGAAGCTTGTTCAATTCCTAAATGCCAGTTACCTCTCTTGGCACACTGTCACATCACAGAATAATAGCAATGAGCGTGAGTTATAAAGGTTACGTGGATATTCGGTATATAGTACTCTAAGAAGAGAGGAAAAATTGAAAAAAAAAATTAGAAGGATTTCCATCCAAAATGTTTGAAATGTTATAAAGTGCTGATTCTTTAAAGGGAAATGTTCTGTGAAGGCCACATATGTAAAAGCCACATATTATTTAGGTTAATAATGCCAGTGATGGGGTGCTAAAATATGGGTCATTAGTGTTGAAGGAGAGAGTCACAGGGGCCTGGATGGTCAGTCATGGTCAACTTGTCCTTACCTTGAGGAAAGAAAGAAGTAGAATGAACAGAGATAGATGGCATGGCTGGAACAGAGATTGGTTTATCTCAAGTGCTTAATAAATATGAGTTGAATAAATGGGTAAATAGTATTTCTGTTTGGAGTAGGGGTAGGGGTGTGGGGAGACCAGTGTCTGAGATATGGTCAAGGGCAGTGGAAGAGCAGTTAGGCTCAAGATAAGCACTCACACTAAGACACAGAGCATTCAAAACTGAGTGGCCTGATTAGAAGGTAGAGAATTTTGAGTCCAACTCTAGTGTTTGAACTTTTTTAAACAGGCTAGTAACATGATAAAGTGGTCATTCACCTGTCCATTCATTCAAAAACATACACTTGGTACCTACTACAAGCCAGGCAATGTATGAACTACCAGGGTTACACAGAAAATGCAACAAATATTTCCTGAGTACTTACTATGTGCTGGTCACTATTCTAGGCAGACGAAAGCTTCCGCCCTCCTAAAGTGTATATTCTAGAGGGGAGAGAGAGAGATGGACAAATGAGCACCATGTGTACTGGGGGCAGATGGTAACAAGCCCTAAGGAGGAAACAAAGTAGGACAGGAGATAAGGGAGGTGTGTGTGTGCGCCTCACTCTCCTGCAAGAGCTCAGGCTGCTGGATGAGGCTGCTACTTAGAGCCTTGCAGCCAATATGAGAGCCCTGTGATGGACCCAGACACGGGATGGGAACTGTGGGTGTACAGAAAGAAGAGCCAGCTCCGCCTGCAGAAGCAGCACGGCTTCCCCTGGCCGTGACCCTGGGAGCAGAAGTTGGAGGGTGAGTACTTGGCCGATAAAGAGGGAGGAAACATTCTGGGCAAAGGCACAGAAGTGTGACAGAGCATGTCCAGGAGGTCGTATCAGATGGCAGCGTACAGCGCTGACGAGCTGGTGGAGAGCAGGGCAGGGAGGACGCAGTGTGGGACTGCAGATCTGGAGGTACTCCGGTGCCGGTGGTGTCATGGGGCAAGGACAGGAAGGCCCGGATGTTGGGCG